AAATTTTTATAAACCCTCCCTACGTCCTTATTATTTGTAAGGATGGCATGGCACACAAGAGTTTGCATGAGTGTGTGACTGTAGCCATCATTATTGCTAGGCAAACTCTTCAAATAGTATGTTGTATGCACAATGTCTGATGTCCCAATAAAACCATATATAAAACTTAATGGTTATAAGATACAAACATCAATTTTATCATACGTTATACTATCCTCCGTTCCATAAAAGTTGGAACAGTTTGACTTTCATGTGTGTCAATGCACAACTTTGACTGTAATTATATTTATTTACGTATTAGTAAACATTAAAAAAAGTTAATATATTATAAATTTACAATAATACAAATTTAATAATATTTTATACATAATATTTTTATTATATATATTATTAGAAAATCGTAGTCAAAGTAAGGTGTGTGAATAGTGCAGAAATACCAATGTTGCAACTTTTATGGAACGGAGGAAGTATATAGTACAATGAATCAATATAATTCTTCAATGCAACGAACATATACAATCTATACACAAAGTATAGTTTAAGATCATAAAACACAATGTCTGCAGAAGAAACAACTAATTCAAGTGTATATAGCATATGTAAGCTCACTCCATTAATGGTAGCAAAGAAGAAAGAAGAAACGAATCTCATCAAGAGACTTGGCACCATATTTAAGAACAAAAGCACTACACATGCAACGAAAAGTGAAAGCGAATTTCCAAGGAATATACCTGAACTCTGACAATGAAATATAGACAAGTGAGGAATTGCAATAAGATAAGTAATGAGCTGAATCGTGAACACAATTAACACTATTATTGACTAACGTAACCAAATAGAATGGGTTTTGTGTTGTAGAGATTGACGATGGAGTGAATGATGTCGTTCCACATATAATGTAGAAAATAGAAGTTTTTAAGTGCTTAATGGAATGAGGTTTCCAGTTCCAATTCTCCCTTTCCCCAAATAGATGATATATTTTGTACTAAAATGTCGTGTTAAGATTTTAAACTTATTAGAGAGCAGTGTGCCCAACGGAGGAAAACCCTAGTTGGTCTGTCTAGGGTCTCTGAAAGCTGCCTCCTAGTGGATAGTTGAAGGGATCCGGCACAGATTTTTTTTTGTTGTGTTTGTTCTATTCTATGGCGGTTCTTTCCCTAGCACTGGCGCTACGTGGTGTTTTGTCTTCTTCGATGTGGAGAGTTGCTTTGGTGTCCTTGTCGGTTTTGACTGGTCAAGAGTTTTTGTCTGTCTTCTTTTGGGCAACGTAGAAAATGGTAGAGGCATAAAGGTTGTTTTTGACTTCACATGTTTCTATGTCTACCTGAGACAAAGAAAGAAGAAAAATTTAGTTTTCACTCATATTGCAGCAGCTCCTCCTCCTCTGGAACTACCTCCGTGTTAAGAAGAGTTTTGTGGAAAGATTTTATTTCAGTATTATCTTTTCTTTGATAGTACTTGTGTTTATTTTAGTACGAGTAGTTTTAGTTCGAATATTTGGATATTTGGAATACTTTTGTTAGGCAGTATTCTGGTTCTGATCGTTTTAGACTTAAAATTGTCTGTTTTGTGTCTAGCGAGTCAAGTTACTTTGTATGAGGTGATTGACTTTAAAACTTTTTTTAGGACTTACATTGGACCTGTAATAAATATCTGGAGTTTGTCTTGTATGATGTTTCGATATTAATATAAAAAGCCTTTCTTTTATGTTCAAAAATATATTTTAAACTTATCAACTTTTTGGTAACATCGGGTGATCTTAGCATCGCTAGTATAATCCTAAACTTATCAACTTATCAACTTTATAGAAGGATTCATTTTGACAAGTTTTGCGTTCTAAAGACCTCTTAATTCAAGAAATATGGTCTCTATAAGTTAGCCATCTACAAGCTCTTCAAATTTCACTTATGAGTCCATAATATAGCTCTAAAGGACTCAAAAGTGTTCATAATTAATGCAACGCTTCAAAATCGCCTCAACGCTATTTCTTTTGTAGCTCTTGACGGTTCCTATTATCAAAATAATCTAGAAACCCTTATATTTTGGTCATAATAATAGTAAAAGTGCAGCTGAGTGCCAAATTAAGGTTTTGGAGTTTTTGCGAAATGTCCCCATGGAAGCTTCTTGAACAACTCTCGTTGACTGATGGGTATGGAATCCAACAAGTTTCCCAATTTGCCAAAATAGGAGCACAGGGAATATTGGGCCAGGAAATGTGACTCAACGGGAATGAGTAGTTCATGCTTCTTCCTACAAATAACACAAATGAAGTCATATTTGTACACACATAATGAGTTACACCAAATTCAATTGTACACCCCAAAGCACTTGTGCACAGACCTTATAATTCAATCTCCCAGACAATATCAAAATCCTACAAGATGGCCCCTTAGCAACCCCAAACCCCTCTCGTACACTACATTGTCTTTCTAAGTTCATCAAATTCAATACTTCAAGTTTAAACTTCAAAAATACCCTACTGGTTTTAAAAGATAATTAATTGTCAAGGAAGACAAACAGCACATCACAAACTACGGACAAATCAAGTCATATATAAACAAACAAAACGACTTCTGCCAAAATCAATTGTACAACCTAAACCGCTTGTCCACAGACGTTATATTTCGATCTCCGAGACAAAATCAAAATCTTACAATATGGCCCCTTAAGGATCCCAAACCACCATTACAGTGTATTTCTCACTTAATGAAACTCATAATTTCAAGTGTAAACTTCGAAAATACCATAATGATTTCAAAAAAAATTACAACAAACACAAACCACACAATAGGGGGTGACAGTAAACAATACTACTCACAAATGTGTTCAAGAAGTGGATATTACCTGTTCTTTGAAGCCTCAACCAAAGATGACAGTGACGTACGAACCATAGTGGTGGCTTCTTCAGGTGGAAACTTCACGCCGCCTTTCGCAGTGAGGTGAGGGAGTCGAGAGTGGTGCTTCAGATGGGGGGATGCTGGACGAAGAAGAGAAACGACGTGAGGGAGATATGCGTAGAGAAAAAGAAAAAACGGTGAAGAAGAAGGAAGTGGAGAGGTGGGAGTTTTGGGAAGAGGGTCGCACGTGGGGAGAGAGAGGTGGGAGAGAGGGGTAAAAAATTTGAACTGGTTTGTTTTTTTGCCTTTTATATGGTGTACAAATTGTGTACAATCAATGTACACTAAGCATTTTTCATATAAGGTAGACGTCCTTAGTAGAAACTTTTTGAAGTTGGTTAATAAAAATATGAGTTTAGAAATTAGAATAATCTAACCCGCTATTTTATCACGCTTTATGGGTGTCCAAGGAGTTTGGTTGCGCTCTGGATCTAGGGTCACTTTGGCATTGCCTTTGACACCTTTAGAACACTACACATACTTTTATAAGTAATAATATTTGAAATAAAACCAGTGAGGTAGATCAAAACCCGGGTGAAAGTAATAGGGAACCGGAGCCCAACCGGAACCCCTACTTGATATCTCAGTGTGGATAATATACTTTTAATTATGATAGGGGCTCGATTATTAACTCATCAAATGCTATAAAAATTGACCATCCTGAGAGCTGTATCTTCCCATAAGAGACCAAAAATATAAAGAAACAGCTTATCTATATACGATAACTTGATTATGCTGACCCTCTTTTTTTAATGAGTACTCTAGCTATTACAGATTATTTAGTTATTATCTATGTAGCACCGATATAGGTACGCGGAAATGAAGAACCAAAAATAAAAACCAAAAAAAAGTAGGATACATATATAGGGGCATATTTATAAATATTAAAAGTTAGAGGGTGTATTTGTAAATATTAAAAATTATGGGGTGTATTTATAAATATTAAAAATAAAAAGTTTTTTGGAAAATCTAAACACATTATCCTATGACCTTTGCCCGTTCATGGCATTGAAACATTTCACATTTTCAAGATAGCTAGAAATAAATTCATTATTTATCTCATATACACTAGTGCAACTCCAAATATAAATGTAGTCCATAAGTCATTAATTTAAAAAAAGAAACGAATCAAATAAGCCTAGTTTTAAAATTAAAAGTTCAAGTATTCAAAGTTCTTGGATAACGAAGATAGAAAATGATACTCTAATAAAAAATTAAAAGTTTTAGTACATATTTCCACTAAAGTTACTGATATTCAGTGGTAACATTGTCTTCCAAAAAGACAGCCTCCAATTCTTGTTCATCTATGGAAAGGTTGGTGAATTCAAATACTCATATATATATATAAGACCAAATACAAACCATGCTTAAAATACTAACCTACAAACTCAATAATATGCAACACTTTGAACTTCAATATGCAGTACAAATAATGTAAAGATGCACTCAGTGAACTTCAATATGCAATAAAAATAATATGCAACACTGAACTTCGATATGCAGTACAAATAATGTGCAACACTTTGAACTTCAATATGCAGTACAAATAATGTAAAGATACACAGTTTGTGACAGTTTGTAGGTTAGCATGGGAGGACTAGTTTGTATGTGATCCTACCCTTGTGTGTGTGTGTGTATATGTATATATATATATATATATATATATATATATATATGTATATATATATGTATATATATATATAGTCCTCCCATGCTAACCTATATACATGTGTGATGATCCTATCCGACCGGTTCGGACTGGAGCCCGTCCAGCCTCCGCCTTTTGGGGTGATTCCCGGTGGTATTTTTTGATGAATTTTTTGTGCCATGTTCTTCATCAAGTCTAGTTCATCCATACCAAATTTAAGTTGAACGTTCCAATGAGAACGATCCTTAACGTGAGAACGTGAGAACACTCACAATTAACCCAACGTGATACACAATAGATCCCGTCTGATTTGAACGTTCCAATGGAACGATGCTTACGGATTGAATCAACTGAGAAGCCTGCTACGGCTGAAAAGTGAGAAGCAACAACCACCGTCCGATTGAAAGTATATCAAGAGCTTAATTTTTAAATTGAGAACCCACGCTCTTTTAAAATGACATTCGAGAAGACGCTAATTTATCTCTCGGATTAGCAACCGAGCATCTTCCCAAGTCCAACAACCAACATCCCAGTACCTCTAACGAAGTGCAACAGTACAAGGATGAACATTATTCAAATGAGGAAGAGATGCGGCACTAGGTGATTTCTCGAAGGTAAGTTTTCTTCATACACCTTCTATAGGAGAAATTGGCGAGTTCTTATGGGTATTTATCATCACTAAAGTACTATCAGCGAAGATTAGAGACGATTGCTATATCCAATTTCTCAACTGAAAAAAGTTAAGTTTCCAAGTCTGCACTATAAGGATTTATTCACATTTATCAACTTTGCTAAATTTTGCGTCTAACAGATCCTGTGAAGTTGGCGAGTTCTTATGGATATAGGAAAAATTGGCAAGTTTCTATAGGAGAAATTGATGAGTTCTTATGGATTTTATCATCACTAAAGTACTATCAGTGAAGATTAGAGACAATTGCTATTTCCAATTTCTCAACCAAAAAAAGTTAGGTTTCCAAGTCTGCAGTATAAGCTTTTATTCACTTATCAAATTTGCTAAATTTTGCATCTAACAGATCCTGTGAAGTTGAGATTGGTTCAGCCATTTTTAGGTCCTGTTTTTCTTCAAATTATTCAAGAGAAGGTTTATTTTGCATAGGTTTATAATTTAATAAACAAATGACATAAGTTGTGTTTCTTGTCCACAATGCCATAATTCCCCGTCCTTAACAGTTCGGGCAAAACAATCTTCAATCTCCTTGTAAGGTTACGAGAGCCTCTCAACTTGATCATCTAATCTTGATATTGAATCAAAAGTTAAATCACGCAATAGGTGCTGCTGCAATCTTAGGAACTGCAGCAGAAACTCTACTCATGACAATGTTAAGAGCAAAACCTGCAAAACTTGTGCATTTTGATTTAAAAATTATGTTTTTTTAAATGTATAGTAATTCTTAATTTGCGCTTTTATAAAAAAGTGCTTATAAGATCTTAAGTTTTAGAGCTCTTACATTTTTAGTAAAAGTTACCCCCCTTGGTTTAAAAGTTATCCCCCTCTGTTTAAAAGTTATACTTTTTGGATTACAAGTTATATTCATAGTTTTAGAGGTCTTGGGAGTTTAAGCAAATAAGAAAAAGTTAAGCCTTTAGGTTTACAAGTTACATTTTTTGGTTTACAAGTTATAGTGATTTGAGTAAAATTAATGTTTTCTTCAACCTCTCTAAATAGAATTGTAGACTGTAATCACTTACCATAACATAATTATTTACTTTATTACTTTTTTTAGAACGACCGGAGAAAGTATGAGTTTATGCATTTGTTGTTTCAGACTTCTCCATATGGATAATTATCGGTAAGGATTAACAGTTACAGGTGGGAGTGCATCTACTTATGTTAAAAGTTATGACTATTTTATTAAAAGTTATGCATATATTATTACAAGTTATGTTTTTTATTCCATAATTTTTTTAAACCGCATTGTTTTGATTGTTCTCATTTCTTTTTCATTTCAATTTTCACTCTAAAATAGATTCAATGTTTTATAATATATAGAGATATGGTAGTTAGTGAGTACCATGTATGATTATTGATTAATGGTGTGATCTAATGAGCAACTTTTAGCATAAACTATATTTTTAATGATATATTACATAACCCATAATATCAAAACAAAAGCCACAAATGATCAAGCAATTGCTTGTAGAGATAGTACAACTCCTAACCTTAAAAATATAACTTCTAAAAGAAATGCAACATCATCATAATAAAAGTTACTTATTTCGCATAAGTTATATAACATCACTGATTTTGTTGTTTTCAGCAAATGTTAATTAAAAGTTATGTATTTAGTTTTAAAAGTTATTATTTTGGATCTATGAGTTACAAACATATATTCATTTTATATTGCAGAAGATTGAAGAAAACATCCAGGCACTGAAACAAGATGACATTGGTGTTGAAAATGAAGTTATTCTAGAAGTTTATCGACAGTGATGCACACAAGAACACCTTTGAAGCAAAGAAGAAAAATGTGAAACATATCTAATATGATAGAGGCCACTCTGTTAAGAAGCTGAAATTTTGTTAACTTATCATATGTTTTTTTTTTTGCAAATAGTGTTGAACGACACCCTTAACCTTTTTTTAAACAAAGGGCCTTATAAGTGTTAGTAGGAAGTAATATGTAACAATTTTGAACTGTAACACTCATTTTATTTGTCTATATTTTTATGTAATTTGTTTTTCAATGCTTTGGATTTATGGTTTTAGATTCCTTGTTTCGATGATTTATTGATAGAGTATATTGGTGGTATGAAAGTTGCTTATGAAATTGAATCAATTTCATTCCTTATTGCTACAGTTAGCAGTTGTTGACTCCATGCCTAGAAGATAGAAATATTCATCTTTGGTATGGCGTTTTGCTGTTCTTTAGTAGGTAATTTAGCTTCTTAACTTATCTGATTTTTTTTTATTTTTTTGGTTTAGTATTCAGATTTTACTTGTAATATATATTACAGTTACTTTAAATATATTTGTTCTTGACTAATTATAACATTGGAGTGCAAATTGTGTATAGGTCTTAAAGAGTAGCTGACTTCAATTAATGTAGCTAATAACAATACTACCAAGATTTCTCTCTTGTAGTGCTTCCTTTGCTTGTTCTAGGAATTGAATATTTTTGAAGAGGAGAGGCTCATGTCCGGTGTGTGTCAATGTGTCTTTTAACATTCTGTTCTTCTTTCTGTATGTAAAGCTGCAGTTCTTCTTCCCATATGTAAAGCTGCATCTGGTTTGTGCAAACGAACACAGCCTATTTGTGGACTTTGAGTTCTGAGTGTGACCAAAAGGATACATTTAAATACAAAAATGATGACTTATGGGATTTATGTTGAGAGTTATGTTTTTTCGGTTGGAAGCTACTTAAACTTTACATAAACTTTGAGTTCTGAGTGTGACTAAAAGGATATGTTTAAAGTTTATGTACTACTAGTTACATAACTTTACTATTAGTTAAGAACTTATGACTATTAGTTAAACTTTTTTCTGTCAGCTTTGTTGCGGGTGCCTGCCAACTACGGAGCAATTATGACATCGGAGAGTGGAGTGTCCGGAAGTCTGCGGGTTGTGCGGCGAGGGCGAGGAATCGCTGCTGCACCTTTTTGTTCATTGTCATGTGGCTGTAGATGCTTGGAACTCGATAGGCTGGGCATCAATAGGATCATCGGAAAGCACATTTATGGGATGGATGAAATCTGTGTTTCAAATCAAGCAAGGACTGGAACTTCAATCCATTGCTTGGGGCTGCTGGGGGCTGTGGGGAGAAAGAAATGCTAGGGTCTGGCAAAGGAGGGAGCTAGGTGCAGCTTCTGTTATGTTGACAGCAAGGAACTATGTGGATGTTTGGCTCCAGGTTCAACGAGGCAGATTGCAGGGAGCAGGGGGGATGCCTCAGTCCCAGATTTGGCATCTTCCGGCTTCGGGTTGGTTCAAGCTCAACGTGGATGCGGCAAGAGATGATGCTGGCAGCGGCTTGGGTTGGGTTGTTCGGAATGATTCGGGTGATTTTGTAGCAGGGGGTGTCAAACCAGGAGGAGGCAGCTGCTCTCCTTTGGAAGCTGAGCTTTTAAGCACACAAGAAGCTCTTAGTTGGTTAAAAGATCGAGAGTGGGATTTTGTGGAAGTTGAACCGGATTCCTTACCTACTATACACGAAATTAGCAACGGATCAAGCATCTCGACTGTGGGTATTTTAGCAGAGGATACTCGGGCTATCAGCAGCAAGTTTACTTTTAAATTTATTAGACGATCAGCGAACAAAATTGCTCATGAGTTGGCTAGAGTAGCTCGTTCTTTGTCCAATAGTCATTCTTGGATAGAGTTCCTCCTAATTGTATTTTGGATGCTTTGTCTTTTGATATGATTAATGCTAATTAATTTATTTGATTTCAAAAAAAAAGTATTAGACTTACTTATTTCCATTGCCACAACTTCCATATACACGTACTAAATCACCATTACTGCATGTCTGCATTACATAATACGATCATAGAAACTTCTCAAATAGTTTCATGATACACACATGACACATTGTGTTCGGGATTACTATTACAATAATATAAATAAATTTTAAGTAAAAGAACATAACTTATAAAACTGAACACTTCTAATGAAAAGTTACAACAACTAATTGATTACAATGATGGTAAAAAAAATTGATTATGATGATATAGTCATGAGAAGGATCGTTGGGCAACTAAATGCCTAAATGTTGATTTACAATAAAATAGTAATAATAATAACACTAGCAAAAATACTAGTAGTAGTACTTCTACTACTGCTAATACCAATTATACTTAATAACAATCGACAAACTAGCACCAATTATACTTCAATACACATTTTCGATGCCTGCATGAAGACTTCTAACTAAACTAAATTGACTTGTTACATGAGAACAACAACTTTTAACATTTAAATGACAACTAATAATATAAAGAGGAAGCTCTTTGTTTATATGCACATTTATCAGAAGCTCTTTGTTTATATGCACCTTGTTGTACTTGAATCCAACTATTTACAAAGCCAGTACACCCATGACCCATGCTCAACCCATTCTAAACTCTTCTATTCCTTTTGAACCAAAGCCCCCAACACCCCAGGGCCCCATGCTAAGTTGCTGAACTTTGCTCCTTTCTTCATGGCCAAAACAATAAATCATAAAAGTGGTAGTATCACCTTTTTTTTAATTAAGTACACTCCAATTTTATTCAAAAGTAAATGTGAAATAAGGTTCAAACCACATTAGACAATTCCAGTCTTGACACAAAATACACACAAACGGCAACTTGCCCGGGGCAAAGGCGCTGAGTTCATTTCTTGAGATGGGGAAATCACTCGAAGAAATCTGCCTTGGGATGCTTTGCTTCAAAATGCTCTCTGCACTTCACCTCTGTTGTGGTGCAAATGAATGTTTGCATACATTTTTTGCACTGGATATTCAAGGCCTTTTTGTTTGCATCCAACTGGCTTCCTTTAGCCTCTTTGCTTTTTTCAAGGTTCCTCTCGCGAGCCATCTTGGACTTCTGGGCGTTCCCTCCACCCATGGCGGTTCCTGATCGGGAAAAATAACCCTAAGGAAGACTTTATCATATTTTTCAGCGACATCCGAGGACGCAGGCTGGTTAAGCACAAGTGGTAGTATCACCTATATTATACAATAATCCATTAGTGCACAATTAGCTCAACCCTTGAATAGTAAAAAAATTGAGAACAACTAAAGCATCCCTAGTACCATTCAATTTGAAGGCTCTTGTTTTGAGTTCCTAAATTAATTGTTTGGATTTCCTAAATCAATCCAAGTAAAGGACATAACAACTTTAAAATTAATGATTGGAACTTAAGGTTATGTTCTCTGTCAACCCACAACTTTTACTCAAATTACTATAACTATTAACTCAAAAGACATAACTTTTATTGAAAACTCATGAGGTCTAGATTAAGTTTAATTAGGAGGTTACATTTTAACATCGATGTAAATTTAAGATGATAAAAGTATAATCACACAAACAAAGATCCAATAAGAAATTAGTCAATCGATTTTATTTGTTATTCATATAGGTATACTCTACTCTCAAATGAATCTCATTACCATTTACGCATTCTAACAAACACTTGATAGGCATAACAATCAATAGTCCTAACATAAGTTCTACCATTGTTGCCTCACAGTACTTTTTCATGCTTCTGACAATTTTAAGACATAAAAAAGCATATCTGAGCATATAATTGGTTTTTAGTTTAAAAATTAATTATAAAATTAAATTAAAGGAGGTACTAAAATAGATATTGGTGTTGGACAAAGTATAAACAAATACCATCCAGAGTCTTTGTTCATCGATTAGAAATCCTAAGGAGAAAGCAAGGAGTTACTGATTCAATCCGTCAGTCGGTTGGGGTTCGCGTGAGGTCGAGAGGAATCGAGCTCAAAACCTATTTCACAGCTAGATTTGACCTCACAGGAGAAGCTTCGCGCTCTTGTCATCATCATTCCATTCCCGACCTCTCTGCTTTAGACGATATGGAGCGGAGAAGAAGAAGTTCCACATCGCAAAGAAGAGACATTACAGGTGAATGAGAATATCCTTGCGAGTGTTGTTGCCCTTTGAATTTGCTTCATCAATGGAGTTTCTTGTTACCATTCCTCTGCTTCACCGGTAGCCTGGACCATTCACTAGAATAATCGCTTTGTAAATGGGTTGTAATTGGATGAGAACCTCTCGATCGTGAAGAAGATTGGTCGGGAATGGAAGAAATTAAAGGGAGCAGTTAAATTTACAACAATTGCCATTAATGAGATGTGCCATATCTAGGTAATCGTACGGTAGAGGATATTTCTCATTTTTCAGCTTAAAGATCAGGGGATCTTTTCTCTATATATATATATCACGAATGTTCATGTCCAACCAGGTCGGACAGAACATCCGTCCGGCCACCTCATTTTGAGGTGGTTCCCGGTGGTGTTTTTGACTGAAATTTTTTGTGTATGTTTTTATCAAGTCTAGTTCACTCATACCAAATTTGAGCAAAAAATTCAATCGGGAATGTTGACAAATGATTTTTGCATGATAACTACGTTTTATATGTATATTCCGAACCAGTTTTCATGCAAAAATCATTTGACGAATTTCCCAATTGAATTTTTTCCTGAATTTTAGTATGAATGAATTGGACTTGATGAAGAACATACACAAAAAAATTCAGCCAAAAATACCAGCGGAAACCACCTCAAAATGAGGTGGTCAAACGGAGGTCCTGACTGGCCTGGCCAGACAAGAAGAGCACTCTCTCTCTCCCTCCCTCTCTCTCTCTCTATATATATATATATGTATGTATATGTATGTATATGTGTGTGTCTTCCATGCTTCCAAAGTCATCTTCATCAACATCCAACATTTTACTTTGTGATCCATATACTTAGTTGTGTAATTTATTTTAATTTTTTCATTTTTTCAGAATTTTATCATATAGATTTTGAGTGTTTTTTTATAAAAAAAAGTTGATATGTGTATCTATCAAGATATGGGTGTCCGAAATTTTAAAATAATTACAAAAAAAAAATGGAAACTTTTGATAAAATGACCTGGGAACATGCACTATAACTGTATAAGATCCTAGATTATTCGATACGGGAACGTTTCCGATACACCAATAAGATGCCCTGGTGAAGTATTCGTATCGGGAAACGGGAGGAGGGAACCAGAATATTCAAATTAAATACATTTTTGGTAATATTTTTAAACGCAACACCCAAAACGGGAGGAGTGGACCAATAAGTCCAATATCGAAGTTAGACAGTTAATGTAAGCTTGAAGTAGAGATTTTCTAATGGATGACAGTATGACACAGACCCCCTGGCCTCACTGAGACCATCAGATTGAAAGTATAAATCAAAATTTGATCAAAATCACCCGTCCTAAGAGGCAGAAACAACACCAATCACCCTTCTGTCTGTTGTGATTAAGATTAAAAATTCCGTGTAAGTGGGATTTGAACTACAGCAACAAGTCCAGAGCCTCTCTCCCGGTTCCCTAATACTGAAGTACGGAGTATGTTATAACCGAAACAATAAGGTATACAGTCATTTATCAATATGTTTCATGTCCGAGAAGCTAAGCTGATGAAAAGAAGCCCAAGTGTATACCGTATGCATACTCTGCCGAATCTGCTTCGATATTAATAGTCAATGTAACACCACTATGGGATTGTGTCGAAGCAAAGAAATAGTTATGAAAAAATCCACTGTGTTAGAACCAATATGTTCTTTCTATCTCTCTCCCTTCTGACTATGATGAGTCTATCAGTTCCACTCTTCAAAATTCATTGATTGATTTTCACTTGCTCTTTTTGCCTTCTTTAGTGTGATCATTGATTAGCGTCTCCACGTCTTTCCAAAAGAGTCCCTCCACTAGAACTCCATCCTTTGTAAACCTGCAAAATCCATGCCAAGTTAAACCCCCGTCATGTAGATTCACAAGTAAAATCATATCCTGTTTTTCTTTCATTTGTAAACTTATATAATCTTCTTTCATAAAGAAGATTGTTATAACTTAGAAGAAGCACTATGCTTGTCCTACGTGTGCTTGTGAATACTAAAAAAGGACTTGCTTGCAAATCTGCAAAAGAATAAATATACAAATTATTCTTTTAATTATTTTTAAATATTTACAAGCATCTACACATAATAATTTCATAAATCAATTTTACAACTTCATGTTTACTCAGTGTATACCTATTATTTTAGTTACTGTTGAAAGTTATTGCTTGACAGTTGCGTAAAAATTCAAATATGCTCCAGAACGTACTGTACATGTATAAAAAGATATCTTATAATTTTCATTTTTAAATGTGCTGATATGATAACACTCATTGAAATTTTGTCTAGTTTATATTTTATAAAATTAACAAAACTATATAACCATTCATCAATAAGAGGTTATTACTTTGACTGTTTGACATATTGTGCTTAACACGCATGTTTTCCCGGGATATGAGAATTCAAACTTTTTAACTAGTCAGTACGTCATGTAACTTTTGAGAAATTTCAGATATGACATCTCAGTGAACAGAGTATCTTTGCAACATACACAGGTGAGGTGAATGGGAAAAGAGACTGACCATTGAGTAACGCTCTTTGTGATCTCCACAGGTGTTTTAGCTGAGATGGATTGAGGATCTGCACTAGCTATTGTCAGTGTGTACAAATCTGAGAATCTGGGCAGCTTTGAAGACACAACTAAGCCAATACTGTTAAAGGATCCCTGGAAAGAAAAAATCAAAAGCTCTTAGCATTCACAACAAAGAAGGCTCTATGAACCATGAACTACCCTAGATCTCAATATCATCCCATAGTGCCTCCATATAATGGGACATATGAACAAACAATGTAGGTAATTAACTAATTACTATTCTTGATATGAACACATGTCTTGGTATGAGACTATAAGGTCGTCAGGCATTTATAATGAAAATTAGATCATAGCTGAGTGCGCTAAAATCGTAGAAACCTAAGAGCGCCTATCAGGGAATTTACAGCAATAATTTGAATTCACCAAGCTTCATAGGGACATAGGGAAGCCAGCTATCGAGAATTGGCATATGATACATTCTTTAGCAACACTTGGAAATTCTAAACATTTGAAAGTTTTTCTTTTCAGAACTTCTTGGTCTCTTGAAATACTCATGATAAGCATTTAACATTTTTATGTTTTTAAAACTAGCAGAACCCTAATAAGCTCAATGTTCAATGTCAAGAATATGCATTGCTTCGATAAGCGGAAACACATCATTTATTCATTTACAACTAACATAAATTGTTGTTGATGTCTACAAGCAAACAATCTAAAAATCAAGCTATTGTTAATATTATCTGATTCTCTACCTTCAAAAAAGATCCTTACATAAACAAATCCCTAAATACAACCCAACTTTCAGCCTCATCTCAAGGGAGAAGCTTAGGTCGAGTGAGTGGTCCATAGATATGATCCAGCGAACATCATCAGTATAGAATAGTAAGCACAAATGAAGTGTCTTCATAAAAGCAGCATATTTTTTAGAAACTGTGTATGTTATTATTATGTTATAAAATGAACAAGTTTGTCAAACATCTACTACCGTAATAAACTGGGAAAAAGTGTATATTAAATGTGTTATTATTATTTATTTATATGGGTTTTTATTGTTTTGCTGAAGCAAGCATTGAGGTCAAGTTCGACAACAAATGAAGCATTATGTCTCTGCTTGCCTATCAGGAATCAGCTCATAGATTCCTATCACTACTATTGCAACTCTGGCGACTTGTCAAGGCAGTGCAGACAGAAATACTTCAGGAAGAAACACTACGAAACTCCTAAAAGGAAAACAGAGCAACATGTCTACATACTAAGACCATTTGGCCGTTGTTTGTTTTAGGGGAGAAATAAAAAGGGAGCAATGGGTGACAAACAAAGAAGAGAAACGGTAGGTGATCAACTCAAATTAGTTAGATTTTGTGTGTTGTTCGGTAGAATACAAATGGAGAAGAAAATCAAGAACTAGGTACAAATTGAGAGGACGTCAAATTCACTCCTATTTCGGCACCACAATCACAGAGACAGAGAGAAGATAAAAGAAAAACTCATGGGACCCATTTGTTCTCCCCACCACCATGTTCATTTATCCCCTCTCCGTTTCTCTTGCAACCAAACAACGGAAGTTTCTCATTTCTCCCTTACTTCTCTCCCTCACATTTCTCACATTTCTATTTCTTATCGAAACAAAGAAAAGTCTTGAGCACAACTAAGGCACCAGCACAAATCTTAACAAAGTTAAACGAGCTCTGAATAAACCTCTTCAACCCGCCCAAATTAATACCCTCAAGATTTTTTTTTTTTACTCCAGGGGGGTCTAAGGGAGGAGGGCTGGGGGCCTAGAGTAATCAGGACTGAAACCCACTCCATTGAGTTTCAAACCCTGCTTGGCGGGTTTCGAACTCGAGACCTCACACTAGGCACGGACGCACGGTACCCTCAAGATATTATAGAATAAAGTTTTTTTCTTCAATAGAATCGAATGGAATCGAAAGCACTGACCAAATATAAAACCAAAATAGAAATTTGTTTCCGTTAGTAAGAACACTAGCAAGCTGCATTTTTATTGAACCCTAATTTATCACCAACTCACCGAGAAGATAACAAAAATATACATCATGGTGTGACAAACCATATAAGCAGTTAGATTCTGTGTGTTGTTTGGTAGAATACAAATGGAGAAGAAAATCAAGAACCAGGTACAAATTGAGAGGATGTCAAATTCACTCCTATTTCTGCACCATAATAAGAGAGACAGAGATATGATCATATGATATAAGAAAAACTCATGGGAGCCATTTGTTCTCTCCATCACCATGTTCATTTATCCCCTCTCCGTTTCTATTGCGACCGAACAACAGAAGTTTCTCAATTCTCCCCTAATTTTCTCCCTCGCATTTCTCACATTTCTATTTCTTCCCTAAACAAAGAAAAGTCTTGAGCAGAACTAAGGCACCAGCACAAATCTTAACAAAGTTAAATGAGCTCTGAATAAACCTCTTTAACCAGCCCAAATTAATACCCTCAAGATATTATGGAATAAAATTTTTGTTCTTCAACAGAATCGAATGGAATCGAAAATACTGATTAAATATAAAACTAAAATAGAAATTTGGTTCCGTTAGTAAGAACACTAGGGCTATATTTATATGAAGCATGCATTTAAGAGACACAACTAGCAAGCTGCATTTTAAATGAATCCTAATTTATCACCAACACACTGACAAGCAAACAAAAATATTCATCATGGCGTGAAAACCGCATAAGCAGAAAAACATATAAAAGTACTGCAACTTACAGCTAGAGGATAAGTGAATAGAATAGCATTCTTCTCCAAGGTGTACACAATCAGCTGCAAAATTGCATTGGCTATAACATACGTGCCAGAGTCAAGACTAAACAGATGAGGCAGCGCAACCGGCAGAGTGATTTATTTTTCATTTCCATTATATCATTATGCAGACGAATGAACATAAAAAAGGGTAACAAGGTTTTAACTTTTTTTGAATTTTTATATTTTTGAATAAAGGGTGGATGTGAATTAAACTCTTTCTTATTGATAAAAAGTTAAAAACATACCCCCAGCTCAGAAATGGAAGTGAGCATAGAAAAATGATAGAAAAGGATATAATATTATGCAGCCAATGAGAAAATTCCGGTTATCTGGGAATTTCTTGTTGTAGAACTGAGCGAAGAGAGCAATTATGATGATGAAAACTCCTAGCAGCAATCTAATGTTGCTCAGCCTCACATCTTCCTTGTAGCCCTTGCCGGTAACGATCTAGGACATATAAAAAGAAAAATAAAAAACAATCCATACTCTGATTCAACTCTAATTGACTTCAATTTCTACACATACATTCACTCGCAGAAGGATGGATAATTCGAATCAAATCAGATGAGAAAAGTCAGTGTAATCGAACCTCCAATACTGACTCGTCGAGGAGGTGCTTGATGGAACCGTGATCGAGAAGGTTTGCTTTTTTAGCAGCCTTCTTGTTGGAATCTCCATTCTTTTCCGACATTTTTGTAGGGTTGTTGTCCAGAAATCCTTCTGACCACAGTGATGTGCGGGATCTGCCTGTAAAGCTGATACAAGTATACAACAGATCAAAAATTGGCAGATGTTACGGCTTACGGGTCCGCAAAATCTATGGGCCAATAATTTAAGGTCACAGCCCACCAAACACATACATTGCTAATGAAAGCCCAAAAACTATAGGCGCTTCCTCACTTTAAACAAGAAGAGCCCATTTGATAGAAAAGTTTTTGGTTTAAATAACTGAAATTGTTAAAATTGATGGAATAGCAACTAAAATAGATTAACACAAGTTATAATAAAATGTGTTATTGTAAAGAAAAATGATATAACTGTTAGGACAAAAATATAACTAGTTTTTATTTTTTCAAAATAAACTTTTGTTACATTCTTCTATTTTTAGTTCCTATCCACTGGCCCACCCTTCCCTACTCCTACCTGTAGCGACCATTGATGGCGGACACACACATCAGGAGCCATTATAAAAGTCACCAATTTTATTTTAAATTTTCCAGTTTTATTTTTAAACTTCGCTAGGAAATAAATAACCGGAAAAATTCGGACAGTCACAATGACTTAAGGTTGTTAAGATCGCGATCTAACTCGCTGAATCGTACGATTTTACGCTTAGAACGGGGAGGGTTGAGTCAGATCGCTGCTAGGATCGGAAAATGGCCTGGGATCGCCGAATCGATGAGTAGAAACGTAAATCGTACAAATCGTCGATCTAACCGAGCTGCGATTTCTCAGCTCGAAAAACGGGAATCAAATGGCGGACGGAAGTCTAGAACGACGAGTTTAAAAAAGTACTTAAATATAGGCGACTTACGATGAAGGAAGCCCAAGCACCACCTGAAACGTTAAGCGTCCTTGCTTCGTCGGCTTTAAATCACTGTTCCTTGTCGTTTTCTTCGTCTCTTCTCTGTTCTCTGAGTCGTCCGCTTCTTTGGTAGGTTTAGTTGTTCAGATAGTCCGTAGTGGTAGTTGTGATAGCAATAATATTAGTCCTGATAGCAGGATGTTTTTACTTTGACTGTAATTCATCCCAGATCAGACCAGACCAGTTCAGACCAGACCAGACCAGACTTGGATAGTTATAAAAATACAAAGAAACCAGACCAGACCAGACTAGACCAGCAAATTACAGTCCAAGTAAAAACATCCTAATAGGTCATGGGATCATGGCAAGTGGGCTATCTTTTTTTAAATCCTCCCCTTCAAACGTTTTGCAATTTATTTTGGACTTGTTATGTTAAGTGTTTTATATTATTGCTTTGAGTCTTGAGATTTTATTATCATATTATTATGGAAAAATTGATTGTAATAACCCCAACTATTGGCGGTCCACTTATAATAATCTCAACTATCGATTATCTCAGAATAATCCCAACTTTAGTGACTTTCCGCAAATAATTGTCCGACATGACCGGCTATAAATAAATTTTTATAGTTTCTCAAGTGGATGAGAAGAGATATAACAAGTAATCCCTATAAATAATTCAACTTTTAATTTTTACGCTTTATTTCTATTTAAAATTCAGTTGTTATAGCAGGTCATATCTGGTCATGGACCATTATTGACGGAATGTCACTAAAGTTGAGATTATTCTGAGATAATTGATAGTTGGGATTATTATAAGCGGATCGCCAATAGTTAGGATTATTACAATCAATTTTTCCTATTAATATATTAATATGAATTCGGTGTTTACATAGAAATTAAATTGTATATACATTTGTGAGACTTCAACAGAAAACTAATTAGCTAAAATGAGCTGCTAGCTTGAGCAAATAGAATGATTAATATAACATTATTAATAATAAATGAGGAGGAAGATGTCATAGCTAACCATTGGAGTACTTTTTAATTTTGCTCCAAATGCTTATGTGGCTAACCAAGTTATGAGAGTAATTAGCTAACTGATGAAGATTGCTCTAAGAATTGGAAGAGTCTTTTCCTTGTGTACGTATGTTCAGTGGTGGTGTTAATTCACTTTGTGCATGATAGTCAAAATCGCTATAGAAATTTAAGGTTCCTTCATAAGTGTTGCAATTCAGATTGTCCAAAGGGTGCAGTGAAGTTGAGATTCAGATCATAATTGATTATGCTTGAGGTATTCATCACTTCAAAATGCGTAGACTGGATTGGTTATTTCATAAAAAAACTCTGAGATGTTAATGTAATTATGAGATGCTAGCTTTTATGTGCAACATCGGAAAAAAAGTACATTGGTGCAACACAATATAACTCATTTACTACAAAGCAGGGCAACACTTTGACTCAGGCACATTTTATTTCAAATATGATGTAATTTTTATGTATAGAAATGCACTACTATATACAAAGTGATACACTTTTTTCACACTGAACATTAACTTGTTTACTAAAACTCCACCACATGTTGCCTTAAAACCCCATTTTCTCCCTGGGTTTCTCACCAAGACTAAATCTTATTCTTCATCATCATCATCATCATTACCCTAGTTTTGCAAAGGCTCTCAACTATGGTGGGGGGTAAGTGGGGTCGGATGTACGTAGCCTTACCCCTGTATTAAATCTTATTTTTCATATAAGAAACAATTATATTGGAACAACTATATACTCCCTTTGTCCCTATTTAAAGTTCCTGTATTCCTTTTAGAATGTCCCTAATTAAAGTCTTTTTTACCTTTATGTTAATGAAGCCCTTATCAATTGACTCTACTACCCCCAAATAATAATTACTGCTCCATGTGCAATAATATATAATTTCAGTAAAAAGGTTATTTTTCAAGAAGCCACAGAAAAAAATTGATATTCTTAAACTCTCTGAAAAGTTAAACTATAAATTTGTTTAAGAGATGGAGGTAGTATGTGTGTGAATTATATATATATATATATATATATATATATATATATATATATATATATATATAACAAAAGCAATTGTTAAAATATACTTATACCATGGAGTAGCTTTAATTTAACCTCTATTACAAGTGGTCTTTTAGATTATAAGCTATTTTCACATAAAGTCTTGTGTTTGGATAATCATAACAAATCATTAAGCTGGTTATTATTTGAATACAACAGGTCTGTTTTCTTGAATTTGAGAATTTGAGAATGGGTAGCTTTTGATTATTTTCCAACAAATCACTTTTTTCATTCATCCGTTTTTCCTACTTAGGTTATCTTGTAAAAGCTTATTTCCGTTGCACAAAAAGGGAGTCAAATATCTTAAAATCACTTTTTAGCATACATTACCCAAATAAGGAGTTCTGATTGCTCTATACATATACTCACTACTTGAAATAACTAAATTAGGTAAATAATTATTTAGGACAGCTGAAAATATATTAATTTTGTGATCGATTATAGTTGCAATCAATTACACACAAAAATGTATCAACATGCCATTCCACCAAAGCCCTTCCATTATGCCATTTGAGACATTCAAAATGCAATGTACCAATTACCAATTCTTCAAAAATATAATAACATACCCACAGGATACAGTAAAACAAGTTGATATTGTTGTTATTATTATATTATATAAATATGTATCTTTACTTGAAAAAAAACAATGGCAATCCGAAGTCTGCATTTATTCTCTAGCAAGAAATGAGATTTCAGGTTATTATTTTTCATATTTTCATTATTACGAACTATAGTGAATTTCAAACAAGAGTATGTTAAATGGCATAAGGTTCCTGCGGTTCTTGTCATTGTCTTAAAAGCACAAATATCTATTTCAAAACACTGGATCGATTAAAGAAGAAGTTTAACATCATCTCCATTAATGGATTTTAATATTGGAATGCAAAGGCTAGATTTTTAATTTAAATTTGTTATCAATACGTAAGATCATCCTTGATTTTCAATTCTAGAGAGTGGCTCGGAATGCTTGTGAGCCTGCCAACAGTGAGTTGTGTGTAGCTTAATTATATGTTTTGGTTTTCTATTTAGGAAGCAGAAAGAGAGAGAGAGAACAAAAACTACTCTGGAGTATGAACTCAAATGAAATACTTAAGATGGGTGGTATTTTATAAGGAGTCACAAAATAATGGTAACTCAAGCCAGTTTTAGTTTTGCAAAGTCATGGTTGAGTAAGCTTAATTGATAATGACATTGCTAAACTAAACATCAACTATATAAGAGACTAAGCATGTGCAAATTACTAGCATGAAAATGCATCTTATGATATAGAATTTCATAAAATCAAGTGAAAGCACATTTATGCATAAGGCATTCTATTTAAAGCACACGTTCATTGTCAGACTTTAAAAATTGTAGATAGAAAATTTCTTTTCAAAACAATAATTGACATACAAAAGAGTGTGACTCATATTAACTCATGCGGAGTAATTTTGCAGATATAAAGCCATACACACATTTTGAATATTTAGGCTATAGGTTTGTGGATGGTTAATCCCAAAATACTTACAAGCAACAAACATAAGCAGTGAAGAAGAAGCAGATAGAAAGATATGAGATGAAAAACCAAATCTAGTATATCGTATGAAACTGGCCGCTGCTCTCCCTGGAGAAGGAGAGCAGCGGCAACCCTAATCTCTATCTCTGCGCCTCTATTCTCTAAAACCTCAATCATTTTCTTTGGGTTCCCGTAAGTTAGACTCCTTTTATAGGAGAAGTTGGCTAACTTACGGGTTACAAGGAAGCTAACGGGCTGATACACATTTGTGGCCCGTATTACACGTTTAATTGATAACTACACAAATACAAAGATAACTAACTAGATTGAACACCATAAAATATTCCCAACGGTGCATGTGTCTCGGCCATAACAGATTTGTCATACTTCAATTATTCATGAACTATGGTGTCTTCAACGGAAGGAATATCGGACCCAGGTGGCATTAACATTCCCACAAAATCTCCTAGTGATCTGCACATTTTCCTCAACAACTTCTCGATCAAGCAATGTTTTTTCACCTCATTTGGTACTCTATATACATATATTTTATTATTTATATTTTTAATATGATAAAAACTCATACATTGAAACTTAGTTCGAATTAAATTAATTAGTTCAAGTATGGTTTGGTCTGATCTGGTGTGGCGTGGTCTGGAAATGAAGTAAATGCAAGTAAAAACATCCTAAAACCCTAGTTCATATCATATCCCATTGAAATCAATGTTTTAAATCATTTAAGTATTTATTAAAACAATCCATAATCATCTAATAAATAACATATGTATCCCACACAAATTCATTCTCTTTAATGCATCAAAATAAAATATAGAATATGCTAGAATAATTTTCATATTCAATGTATGAAAACATGGTGTAAATTCTAATCTATAATAATATGTCAAGAATTTCCATCCTAATAGGCTAAATTCATATTATAAGAATAAATATCAATTAGAATTGGTACTTTATATACATATATTTTATTATAAGTATTTGTAAATGATAAAAACTGATAGAACACTGACATTATTGATTCAGAACTCACACACACAATCGAAGAACACACAGATCACACTTTATTCAACCCAACGAAGATATACAAGCTGTAGACAATTCGAGATGCCCAATCTCCTAGCCCAGTTCTAGCCAAAATGACAGATACCTCTAGCTAGCTTATTCAACTTCTATTTATAGTAACAGTCCACGCAGGGACCTTACTAACTAACTAACAGACTAGTCAGTTAATCATTATTATTACCGCCCTATTCTTCCCCCTTTTATATACTTTCTTGTAAAACTGGACCGCATGCTTTACTCCTTGTCTATCAATACTCCCTCCCTGGAAATTCACCTTGTCCTCAAGGTGAAGCTCTGGAAATTGTTCCTTGAGTGCTAACAAAGGTTCCCAGGAGTCTTCAAAGCTTGGCAGATTGCTCCAATGCACCAACACTTCCACATTCCCCTCCCTGTCAACCCTTGTATCCAAAATATCTTCTGGCACTACCTGTAGTTCCAATTCCTCACTGAGGCAATTAGGTAGAGGCTGGTAAAAA